ACCTCATTCTGGAAGGCACACAAGGATGCAGTGGGACTCATGGGTTATTGCTGCCTCACCACAGCATGAATCCCCAGATTCATGATGGCAAAAAATGTGTTGACCATATCTACTTAAGATGGTACATGTTCCTGACAGTCTAATGCCTTTAAAAGTAGGCTGGATTCCTGTGTTACAAGGACTAGTGGAAACATGCCTAAAGGACGTATTTTATGGAGGCTAAGACTAGTTAAGGGTCTCAAATAATTTGAAATTATTTCTGAGTAAGAACTGAGTCTTCCAGAGGCATTTAACTTAAGCCAGTTTCTGCAAGATGACATCACTAGTTTCTTGCGAAGGTCTATGATGAAAAGGAGAGTCATTGTACTCCCTCACCTGAACACAAAGACACATTGGTAGATTTAAGTAAAAAAGGAACTGGTCACTCAGCAAGAAGTTTTTAAATGTCTTCCAATTCCTATCAGAGTGCCCCCAAAGTACCCAAAAAGATGTATTGAGCAGGTAAATAAAATATTGAACTCTTAAAGAGTTCAAGAGTTCACGAGTTCACTCTTTTCCGGGGAAGGAACCGGGCTACAGAGGCTGAGGGCAGCCTCGCATCCCAGCGCTCAACCGCTGCGCCACCAGGGGGGCCCTTAAAGAGTTCACTCTTAAAGAGTCCTGGCTGTTTTCTGCTCTCAGTTTGCAAGAAAAGCAAAATGGGTGTTGTCTTTAGTGATATATGGAAGGGAGGTTTAGATAGCCGCCACAGATCACAACTGTGATCCTGCAGTAATTCAAGATAAGACTGACTGATAGTGGATGGTCAATGAATCAAAAATCTGGGGTTTGACCTTTCATTACTGTGTTTTGTATATGGAGCACCAGAGGCACATTTCCTGCTTACTGTGTTTTGTATATGGAGCACCAGAGGCACATTTCCTGCTCAAAAGTGAGATTCTTATGTAATTCTTGCCCGGAGAGAGCATCATGGAGATGGCGGTGGTAGAACTGGAAGTTAGATGTTGACTTTAGCTTCTGTGTTCCTAGAGAGTGATGCTTTTTCGGGTTTCTCTTTAGAATTAAACCATCAAAGTCTCATTGCGTATGCATTCAGCTCAGATGCGGAAAAGTTTTTTTGTAATGGTAAGTAAGTTAATATAGAAATTACACAAAGGAAACTGCTTGACGCAAATAAATGCTCAATAAGTGTCAGCCATTATTGCTCATTAAGTTGTGTTGCTGTCATCTACTAGACATCTACTTGTGCCAACCCCATGGTCGATGCTGCAACACAGGTACAAGTCTGAACATGATTCAGACTGAGAAAATAAGTTCCAAATCCTGGTAACTCCTAAATGCTTTGTCCCTTGACAGTCTTTCTTCCTGGTGAGAACCTGTTAAGTGAGTATTCAAGCTTCATATTTTTACTAGTCTCACAAACTCCCCTTTTTTTTCTGATGAATGGGCCCCTTCCCACTCTATGAGTGTTGTGTGTTTCCAGCAATTCCTTTTCCCTAAATCTGGACACAAAGAAATGGAGAGAGGCCTGTGAATGATAATCACAGCAGTTCACGAACAGGTCCAGTTAACATGGCCCAGGTGGGCTTTGGGACTGTGGAACGTGAACTTGGCTTCCAAATATGAAAGAAAAAAAAAGAAGGAAAGTATAAGAATAGAAGTAAAGGAATAATACGGTACACCTCACAGATAATGCTTCCAGACCACTGCAATAAAGCAAGTATTGCAATAAAACGAGTCACACAGGTTTTTGGTTTCCCAGTGCATATAAAAGTTGTGTTTATATTATACTGTGGTCTATTAAGTGTGGGATACATTGCATCTTTTAAAATCCAATATACATTCCTTACTTTTAAAATCCTTTCTTGCTAAAAATTGCTAGCCATCATCTGAGCTTTCAGAGAGTCATAATCTTTTTGCTGGAGAGGGTCTTGCCTTGATACTCATGGCTGCTGACTGATCAGGGTAGTGGTTACTGAAGTCTGGGTGGCTGTGGCAATTTCTCAAAGACAACAATGAAGTTTGCTTCATTTATTGACTTCCTTTCACAAAAGATTTCTCTGCAGCAAAGGATGCTGTCTGGTAACATTTTACCCACAATAGAACTTCTTTCAAAACTGGAGTCAATCCTCTCAACCCCTGCCTCTGCTTTATCAGTTAAAAACTTAACTGATAAACTGATATTCTTTTTTTTTTTTTTAAAGATTTATTTATTTATTTGTACAAGCACTAGGTACAGTGAGAAGCACGGGAGGGTGAGAGAATTCACCAGAGCCAGAGCGGGGAACAGAACAGGCAGAACGATGAAATACACTGCTGAGGGGAGCAGCAGGCACTGAGGGGAGCAGCAGGCGATGAGGGGAGCAGCGGGCACTGAGGGGAGCAGTGGGCATGGCAGGAGAGGTCTGCGCGCCATGTGGGACCCATGTGGGACCCTTGCCCGGTGGCCGGGTATCGAACCAGTGCTGCAGAGGCTTCAGGCAGCTTCACAGCCCAGCGCTCAACTGCTGCGCCACCAGGGGAGGCCCTAAACTGATGTTCTTTATCCTCTGTTGTCATTTCAGCAACCTTCACAGCATCTTCACCAGAGGTAGTTTCCATCTCAAGAAACTGCTTTCTTCACTCATCCATAAGAAGCAGTCTGTCATCTATTCATGTTTTATCATGAGATTGCCGCATTTGGTCCATCTTTAGGCTCCAACTTCTAATTCTAGTTCTCTTGCTGTTTCCCCCCATCTGCAGTTACTTTCTCCATGAAGTCTTGAACCACTCAAAGTCGTCCATGAGAGTTGGAATCAACTTCTTCCAACTCCTATTAACGTTGCTATTTTAACCTCCTTTTCCAGAGGTTTTCAATTATTTTTGCCCAACACTATCTAAGGCAGCTATAGCCTTACAAAATATATTTCTTAAATCATAATACTTGCAGGTTAAATGACCCCTTGAGCCAGAGGCTACACAATGGATGTTGAGTTAGCAGACTTGAAAATAACACTCATCTTGTATGTCTCCATCATTCTTGCGTGCCCGGGTACATTGTCAGCAACAATGTTTTGAAAGGAGTCTTTTTTTCCTGAGAGGTAGGTGTCAAGAGTAGGCTTAAAATATCCAGTAAACCATGTTGTAAACAGTTGTGCTGTCCTGTGGTCTTTGTTTTTCCATTTATAGAGCACAGGCAAGGTAGACCTAGAATCGTCTTTAAGAGACCTAGGATTTTCAGAATGGAAAATGAGCATTGGCTTCAGCTTAAAGTCGCCAGTGACTTTAGTTCCTTACAAGAGAGTCAGCCTGTTCTTTGAAGCTTCGAAGCTTCTCTCACTACGGATGTGCTTGATGGTGTCTTCTTCCAACAGAAGGCGTTTTATCTACATTGAAACTGGTGTTTGGTGTAGGTGCTTTCACTAATGATCTTTTGGATGAGAAACTTGCTGCTTCACCTTGAACTTTTATGTCATAGAGACAACTTCTTTCCATAAACCTCATGAATCAACCTCTCCTAGCTTTAAACTTTTCTTCTGCAGCTTCCTCATCTGTCTCAGCCTTTATAGATTGAAGAGATTTAGAGCCTTGCTCTGGGTTAGGCTCTGGCTTAAGAAACTGTTGTGACTGATTTCATCTTCTATGCAGACCTCTAAGCTTTCTCCATATCAGCAACGGGCTGTTTTACTTTCTTATCATTCATGTGTTCAAGGGAGCAGAGCCTTTAATTTCCTTCCAGAACCTTTCCTTTGCCTCCACAATTTGGCTAGCTGATACAAGACATCCAGCTTTTGGTCTGAGTTGGCTTGTGCATGCCTTCCTCACTTAGCTTGATCATTTCTAGATTTTGATCCAAAGTGAGAAGTGTGCAACTCTCCCCTTAGAAGATCACTGGCCTTATTTCAGTACTGTTGTGTCTCAGGGAATAGGAAGGCCAAGGAGAGGGAGATAGGGGTCCCTCAGTGGAGGGATCAGAACACTCGTTATGTTTATCAGTTAGGAACACAGACATGGGCATGGTTCATGGTGCCCCCAAACAATTACAATAGTAACATCAAAGATCACAGTTCGCTGTAATATACAATAAGGGCAGAAAAGTTTGAAATATTGTAAGAATTTGCAAAATGTGGCACAGAAACATGAAGTGAGCTTATGCTGTTGGAAAAATGTCTCTGGCAGACTTGCTTCACAAAGGGTTACCGCAAGCCTTCAATTTGTGGGGGAAAAACACAATATCTGCAAAGTACAATAAAATGAAGTGCGGTGAAATTAGGTATGTCTATAGGTCCACTGGGCATTGTTGAGGGTATGGTGAATGGAAGTTTTCCAACCCAAATAAGGTATTTGGAGTTTCTCTGGAGGCATGCATTCAACTGGAACTATTAAACAGCTAACAAGTGCTTCCACAGGTTTTTAACAAAGTATATTGGCACTCCTGCAACATGGGAATTTTTTTTTTTTAAATGAGAAAACTGAAATTCGAAAAAGTGAAGTGACTTGTCTAAGGTCAATCAGTTAGTAAGTGGCACAACAGCTGTGCGCTTTGGCTCTGTGATTCCAAAGAAAATGCCTTTGCACCTCATTACAGATGGGGAACTGATAAAAAAATTGAAAGTGAGGCAGTATTTAGTGTTGTCAGCATTAAATAAAGAAGGGAAGGTTAAGTGAAGCTGATTTCAATATAGAAGAGGCTGCCCTTGTTCGGAGAGAATCTGTTACAGAGAAAAAGCATTATTGAGTCTTGAACCTTCTAAGGCTGCTTCTCTCCTGCAGCTTTAGCTTTATCTCACTTTACTTTAAGCCAAAGTTGATTGTGGTGGCCCTTGAGGGGATGATGCTGTGCGTAGGAACCGTCTCTATGGGGAGTGTGAATGCCCTTCCTCCCAGTGCCCACAACCTCGGGCGGCTGTTGCATAAGGCCCTGGGCCACCCTGCTGGACAGGACTCCAGCAAACAGCTGGACTTTGGAACTCCGCCCCCCTTAGGCCCTCCCTCCCCGCCGGAGCCCCTCCTCCCCAAGGTGGCTGTGGCTCCCAGAAAGTCAGAGCAGCCGCTGTAGTTAAGGGAGAGGACCAAGGACCGTGGGGAGGGAGCAAGAGAGGGAGCTGGCTCCCTGGCCGCGGCGCCGAAGTTTCTTGCCCGCTGCACCCCTGCCGGCTGCTGGCGCCCTGGGCCATGAGGGAACGCTGGGACCAAGCAGCAGCATGAAGGGCAGTAACCGGGCTTACACCCGATGTCCCTCTTTGGGGTGGCTCTTTGCTAAGTGCTGCTGTTGCTTCCCATGCGGTGGTGAGTGACTGTCGGCTTTGCGCCTTCTTTTACCCGAGACTGGGGACTAAAGAGTAGGACGGAGGGGGGGGGGGGACAGAGCTGGGGTGGGGTGGGGGGAGAAACGAGTGGGATGAGGGGAGAGGAGGCGGGTAACAAAGGGACGAGAGATTGCTCTAAACTGCATTCCTTTCACAGTTTCCCTGGCGGTCCGCGGGCGCTCTTCTCGGGGACATTCTAGCTCGCGTGGAAGCTGCAGTTGGAAACTCAGTTATCAGTGGCTTTGGCTCTCTGGCGCCAGGCCGTAGGGGGTGGGGTGCGGATGCAGGGGGGTGGGGAGAGGGCTCTCTTGCTCTGTGTGTCCCTATAGCGGCAGACTCGTGCTCCCCTGCTCTCATTTACATAAAGATCTCAGCTGCAGGATTAACAAATGACTCTGCGCTACAGGAGTGCATTTGACACTTGTCTCTACACCAGCAACTATTTTTGCCAAGTGACAATTTTCTTTTGGGACTGGAGCCGGCTTTTCTCTTCCTGGGCGTTCGCAGGCCAGCTCTGGGTTTGCAGCTCTGGGCCAAAGCTTGGTTCATTAATTAACCAAGAACTCTCTATGTACCCAATTAGGGCTGTATTTAATTATTCTGCTAATTTTAATGTTGTTGAGGTTACTTGCAGGAAGCAATTAATTTTCCCAAAATCAGCCTGCAAAACAAAAATGGTGAGAAGTATCACAGAGAAAGATTATCAATTGTGTAGCCTCTCCTGGAAAAGAAATCAGGACCTTCCTAGGCAGAGCTAGTAGATATTCCTAAGGCAGTTCCTTCCACTTTAACACTCAGACTTGGAGGGTGGGGGAAGAGAGAGTCTGTTTGTATGCGGCTAGAAGTGAGACTAAAACCTCTCCCTTGACACTCGCCCTTTTTTCTGTTCCACCTGTCCGGCTTCTATCCTCCACCCCCATTTTCCCACCCCATCTTTGTCCCACCAAGTCCTGATGGAACTTTTTCTGAGTTCCTGATGATTACGTTTTTTCTAAATAACCCTTCACCGTCATTTATGCCTCTCATGCACGGCAAGTTCCTGACAAATTCTCCATCTTAGCAGATGGAGGGCTACAAAAACGAAGTAAACCTGAAGGACGTTTCCCAAGACATTAAAGGTTACAAACTTAGCAGTAGAGTCTCTCAGTCTCTGCATTTGATTAGAACAGCGTGGAACTATGTGTGCTCTAGCTCTGAAAGTCAGCACTCAGATGGTAGACTCTTAGGGAACTAGGGGCCCTCACAAAAATCCAAGCATAGATTAGAACAGTGAGAACTGGGAATTGAAAGAAGGGGGGATTTATTAAAAAGGAGACGAAATAGGAAAGGGAATCTGAGGGGGTGGGTTTACTCTGAAGCCTGTGCCCCTTTCATTGTGAAGGGTTTTCAAGCAAGATTTCTTCAGCGTCCATTTCCTGTCAAAAAGCAGAATGCAGGGACTAGGGTGGTGCTTATCTAAAGTCCAGGCAGCTGCCGCCTTGAGTCCAGATGTGTGGCTGTTCCAGCTTCCCTACAGAGTAATTCTCCTGGGGTCTCTGGGCTTTTGCTTTGTTTGTGAATTGCCCTGGCGCTTCTCTCTGTTCCAGCATCTAGGAGGGGGTGAGAGTTGCTTGGAGCCCCTGCTGGGCCCCTCCTGGGCCCCTCTGCCTGTGGGACTGGGAAAGCCAGGGCTGTAGGCTCTGTGGCTTGGAGAGGGGGTGTGAGAGAGTGGGACTTGCAGGAGCCCAAGCTGGAAGAAACTATGGACTCTCCAATGAAAATTGAGGGGAGCAGAAGGCAGCTCAAAGGGGAAAGGAAGGCAAAACAAATATGGGTGCCTTGTCACCTTCTGCTTTACTCCTTACTCTTTCCTAGATAACATGTGAGGAGGGAAAACTGGGGCTCCAATGAGGAAGATGATGGTGGAGGTGAATTAGCCACCCTTCAGAAAACTCCTGATCACACTAGGCAGGGAAATAGTGTCTGAGATGTTGGGGCACTGCCTGTGGGACTCCTCAGTTTGCCTCAAACAGAAAGGAGAGATCTAATCTAAGTCTCCGCCCAGCCTATGGTTACCTGTTTGGAAGCAGATTAAAAAGATAAGGTCAGGCAGGGTCTGGGCTAAGGGGTGGCAGGAGCCATGTCTGGCTGTGAAGGTGACAAGAACAAGCCCCTGAAGCAGGCCAAGGAGATGGAAGAGGAAGATAAGGCATTCAAGGAGAAACAGAAAGAAACCAGCACTAAAAGACTGTGGGGAAAGGCCCCCTGGCCATAGATAGAATTTAAAAATCTGGCAAAAAGGGGCCTCCCTAGTGGCGCGTGCAGTTGAGCGCAGCACTGTGAAGCTGTCCCCAGCCTCTGCAGCGTGGGTTTGATCCCCGCCGGCCGGTGAGGGTCCCACATGGCGCAGCAGACCTCTCCTGCCGCGCCTGCTGCTCCCCTCAGCAGTGTATTTCAGTCATTCTGCCTGTTCTGTTCCCCGCTCTGTCTCTGGTGAATCCTCTCACCCTCCCATGCATCTGGCCTGTACCCCAGTTCTTGTATAAAAATAAATCTTTAAAAAAAAATCTGGCAAAAAGATATTCCTTGTGCCTGAAACAACGGTGATTTTTAATTCCATTCCTGTTTAAACATCTGGATTCCCTGCCATAAGATTCTTTGCCTCCAATAGCTAAATGAGATCTTGGAGTCTTATACTGAGCCTAAATACATGGGCCAGAGCCCCAAAACTTTAAGGGAAGAAACTTCCCAGTTGGAACACCAGGACTTAGGGAACAGTATGAGAGGCAGATTGGAATAGAGGGCAGCTCACTGGGGGTGATTTGCCTCCCTATTCAGTCAAACCAGTTTCTGTTATAACAGACCTAACTCTTTTAATTTTTCTTTTAATTTTTTTGAAGATTTATTTATTTATGCATACAAGAACTGGGGTGTAAGCCAGAGGTAGGGGTGTGTGTGAGAGGATTCACCAGAGATGGAGTGGGACGCAGAACAGGCAGATCGACTGAAATACACTGCTGAGGGGAGCAACGGGTGAGTCAGGAGGGGTCTGCCGTGCCATGTGGGTTGCTCTCTGGCCAGCTGCAGTAGCTGGCGATAGCACTGTCTTTAACCCCTGTGCACCAGAGAGGCCCCCTGTTTCTTCTTTTAAATAAAGGCAGCTGGTTAATTGGTCTCTATCTCCAGCAAGAACTAACTCTGGTAATGCTCCAGTAGCTGGATTCTAAGGCTAAAGGGTGGGAATCTACTGCTATGGTTCCCATGTCAAGGGACCTACACTGGCTTCGGTCACCTCCTTCTGTAGTCTGTGGAAAAAGACAAAAGGAAAAAGCAAGAGGAAGTGACATGTCTGGTTATTTTTTCTTCAAAGCTAAGTGAGGCATCCTAGACTTTCTCTGGTGAATCCTAAGCAGTTGTAATTGTTACGGCTGGGTAAGAATCAAGGATTAGTGACAGGACCTGTGTGGCCTTTCAATATCTTATTTTAGAAAAAAGAGGGATGAAGTTCGTTGAGCTTGTCTTTTGATTCAGAAAAGTGAGGAAGGCTGCAACATGTTTTTCTCTTCCAGTTTTTAGTTCTAGTAAGTTTGGGTAGGGAAAAGGAGTTTGAAGAAAGATGATCTTTCTTCCCTACCTTGAAATTGGTGTTAAAGGGCAGAAAAACTAAAATTCAAGCTTAAGATGGAAATAGCGATCAGGTGAGAAGGGGAAAGACAGTAAAAACATTTATAACTGCCTTTTGGGAAGTGAAAAATAGCCAAATGTGAAATAATGGCATGTGTGTGTCTGGAGGGTGATTAATCATTGATATCACACTCTGTGGGGAGTTTCAGAATTGCTTTGGCAACTTAGATTTTAAGGCTGAAGATGTGGGTCAGCTCTGCATTCTTCCTTAATTACCTCGAAATTTAAAAGGCAACCTGTTTCAAATTTACAAACAGGGTTTCACATCATTTGGGGGTAACTAAGTTAGGGGTTACAGACTGGAATTTATGACTTCTTGGATCATGGAGCCTAGAGACCTTTCTGACCTTGCTAGGCAGAAGCCAGTTTTAGAACCTTTAATTTTCTAGTCAACTTGTAATTAACTTTGGGTATATGGACAACATTCCCTTCTTGGAAACCTTTCCTGATTGCTATCCTCTGTTTCCCACAGTGTGCATAGGTTTTCTTTATACTTGCTTATTGCCGTATCCAGGTCCTGTGCCATTGTGTCTTCCCATTTCAATGGGACACATGCCCGATTCAGGAGTCTGAGTATCTCACAGGTAAAAAGAAGCCTGAACCAGCTGGAGGACAGCGGGGGAGAGGTGCTGGGGTCACATTCCTATGGCTCTGTCACCACCTGGGCAGGTTGAGTTCCAACTTGACGCTGACATCAGGGGGTTTGGGTAAGGGTTTTGAGAGCTCACAGTGCATCCCCACTCCACCTTTTCTATAATTTCTTTGTTTCCATACCTTTTCCCAGAATCGCTTAGCAGAAACCTCTGACTCCAAGTGAATGTCTCTTCTTTGGCTTGTAAACTGATACAGCTCATTTTATAAACTGAATTTAATGAGTGAGTCCATGACACCAAGTTCCCTTAGAAAGGTGTTGGTAACCTCAATGAGGAACCCTTGTGATATTCACTATTGTTTACTTAATTCATCGTAATATACATATACATACTACTCCAGAATGTGCCTTTACCATGAGGAACATTGTAGGGTCAGGAATGGACACGGAGCAGGTTTTCTAGGATCCAGCAGACTGGGTAAAGGAGGAGTCAGAGTCCTCAGTGGTTTTGCAGGTTTTTATTGGGGTTTATCAGGCATATGGCAGGCAGGGGTGCTGGAGGGCCGGGAGGCTGGCGGTCCTCCCAGCCCCCAGCAAACCCTCACTCTATCTGGGCTCTCTGGCGTTGTCTCTGCTTCTCGGCTTCTACTGGTATCCCCGTGACGCCGCCCTTAAAAGCACAGTCTTAGCGCAGGTGTACCCACTTCAGGTGCCTGCCATCAGGC